ACTGTGATCATCATGAAGCTTATCTGAACACTGCGAGTCAAGGCACGTGTGGACCAGCTGTCACGCTCGTGGTCATTGAAGTAATATTGAGTTCCCGAAAATTACGACTTTTGGCATTTACATATATAAGGCATGTATTAAACGTTTTTATTACTCTTCCATGTTTGGTTTGCGGAATCTGTGTTCTTGAAGGGCATTCACCATTGACTCTGGATGTAAAATTCCTTTAAACCGGACGTTACCGTTTCAATGAAATCTTGCAGATGTCCAGATTAAGGAATTGCTGTCATTGAGGCTGAAGGGGTCGTTGTCGGCACAGGTACAACTGATACGTACCCCAGGTTCGTTTTTGTATACATAAATGTACCCTAGCCAAAATCAGAGTACAGAAAGGTACCCGGTACCCCGAACAGCGGGCGAGTCCATATTCCTCAACCCCAAACTGAAACCGGTTCATGTTATTCTGGTTCGCCTGATGCTGTGCATCTTGGAACAAGTCACTGTGTTTGCTAGTTTTTTTTATATAGCACACTGGAATGGATCTCATACAATACTATGCCAGTACCGATCTATTTATGGAAAGGAAATACCGAGAGAAAACTATGCAAAGTGTGCTGCCATGTTTAAATTTTACCGCGGTTTGGCATCCAGGACGTGTCGTATACGTAAACATTTAAGAAACCGGTTAAGCGCATTGCGCAATACGGCCTGCGGCGGAATGGACTCACCCTAAGGTACCTAATCTGGTTTTGGCCATGGTACATTTCGGTATAAAGAGCCGTACCTTGGGTACATATCTGTAGTACCTGTGCCGACCACGAACCATTCAGCGTTATTGAGTAATGTCCGTTGAATGAAGGTAGGCGTCTGAAGACTAACGATGACTGTAATAATGGGTTTTGCCGTATGAGCAAATTAAGTGCAGTGTTGAAGTACTTCTTTCAAAGTTTGTAGGATAAAATGTCATTAATTGATTGAAAGCCCCACTTACGGTTAAGAAAACGGTGGAAATTAATTTCACAACCCAATGGGTTTCATATTGGCTCCATACATGCAAGGTTAGACATCTTTTTAATCACCTGCTTAACGGCTTTAAAAAAAATTCTGATAACAAATGTCCTTCTGGTAAAGTTAAAAAAAATGAAAATGATTTTTTGTGACAAGTGAAACTTCGCTTCATTTTTTACATTTTTAAAATATAAAATAAGTTTTCATTACGGAAATACATGAGATTCGACAAGAAGAATAAAGGGCCGTTGTAAGAAAAAGATGATGAACTTTGTGTGTGGGCCTGCAAACCAAGTATTAAAACACATCAAAATACCAAAATATAGTTTTTGTTCCATTGGGGAGTCCTGTATAACATTGTATACAACAGGAGCTACCAGGCTGTTCTCACATTTGTCTTTGTTGAGGAGGGGCGGTCGGGTAGCCTAGTGGTTAAAGCGTTCGCTCGTCACGCCGAAGACCCTGGTTCGATTCCCGACATGGGTACAATGTGTGAAGCCCATTTCTGGTGTCCCCCGCCGTGATATTGCTGGAATATTGCTAAAAGCGGCGTAAAACCATATTCACTCACTCACTCACTCTTTGTTGAGGATGCGACGGGAGCGTCTTTGACTGCTCAGTGGGTGCAGGCACCCGTTCGTCAAAATATGACATCTGACATGTCTTTGTGTTTCAATGGTAGCACAGCCAGCTAGTCCGTGGGAATCTTCAAGTTGTAAGTGTAGTACCTCTTCTTTTCTACAAGGGATGTCAATTCATAGGGGAGCGAGGGATCATTGCTTAAAGCCGCATCAACAATCTTGCAGCTATTCATTGGTACTGAAAATATGGGTACATGGTTACACTAAGAAATTCATGAAGTATAAAAGGTTTCTTTGATCATGGGATAATATGACCTGAATTTGGATACAAGGATTGTGGAAATATGCATATGTTATTCTAGCGCTCTTCAGCTGTTCACTGCCTAGAACTGGACATTGAAAATAATGTAAACGTATACTAGTATATTTGGAATAGAGGAGTTTATGAAGAGTATAGGTGTCGATGGACTTTCTAGTTGTCCCATCAGCGAGTGAGTGAGTGGGTTGGGTTTAACGCCGCTTTTAACAGTATTCCAGTTATATCACGTCGTGTCAGCTTAATGTGGGAGGAAAGCCCGAAGCGATGCAGGTCTCAGACGTTTACCACTTTGGTGACACCCACGAGCACGGGTATGGTGCTGACAAACCTAGAAACATAATCGGGGCGAACCGGGATTCGAACCAACAATCATCGGTTTCTTGCGTGTCCAAGGGACCCATCTCTGCACAGCGAATTGCGGCGCCCTGGACGACTGGGTAAACCAAACTCACTCACTCACTCATCTATCTTGTCATTTGACTCCAAACTCCACACAACGCCATCGTTTTTATTACGAATCAGTGTCAGTCTGGGAGTGTTTCATCTACACAGCACAATTACATTTCGAGCTCCTGACGCTGTTGTCATTCCGACAAGCAAATTCTGAAGTGTAACGCATCTCGGCTTTTATTGCCTCGACCTCATTAGGTTGTTTGCTGCCTGGGTGACTGTAGAGATAAGGAGCACGGACGATCAGATCTACTCTGCCAGGAAGCGTTTCATCTGAGGAGCACTCCCCGAACTCGCCCACAAAGATAGTAGCTTTAGTTGTTTTTAATCGCATTTAATCTTTAATCGACTTTTGATAAAATACCGACAGTTCCGTTAAATTAAAGTAAATCAGTGTCTGTCTTGACAGCGTGGCTTAAGAGATAGGATATAGATATAATTATTTCGGAAGGAGTCACTTGTGTATGTGTTAAACTGGACTCGAAACAGTCCATGTTTTTCCCATATGAATTAAAAAATGTGATATAAGCCAAAGAACACCTTTTACTCTATCCTGATGTGTTCAGATTGTTTAAAAACCTCGGAAACAGAGCTCTATTTTTTCACTTTTTTTAACAATGTTTCAATTTTAATTTTCCTTTCCTTTTTGATAATTTTGTTTGTTATTTGATACAATATTTAAATAGCATGGAGACTTCCCAATCTATAGTGGTATATGCGTGTGTAGTTTATTTGTGCTGGCTCCGACAGTTGTCACGCTATAACGAGGACTGTTTAGTCACATTGCGTGACCTGTGTCAATCAAGCCCTGATTGTAGGGTCCATTGCTCATGCTTTCAATCACTGGTTTGTCTGGCCCGGATTCGATTATTCCCCTCCTACGTAGCTGGAATAAACCTGACTGCAGCGATAGTCATTCACCTACTGACTTTACTGATATTGTCCAGTATTATAGTAGTCTTAAATGTAGTACAGTAAAGCAAATCACTACATTTAAGGCTACTATAATACTAGAACCATATCTATTAAGTGAAAGTTTAGAACAGCTCTCGATTTCGTTGAAGTTCACATGATCAGTAATTTTCTAACTATTTGACGGCCGTTCGAAATAATCAAGTCTGGACCAGACAATCCAGTGATTGACATCATGAGCATCAATCCCCGCAATTGAGATACGATGACCAAATCAGCCAGCCTGACCACCCGATCCCGTTAGTCGGCTCTGACGACCATTATAGTCATGGGTTGCTGAAGACCTATTCTACCCCGGATCGTCACGGGTCACAGGTAATAAAAACTCTCAAATGTATAACCTGTATCGGAGATGAAATATCGCTTGCAGTCGTGAACTCTGTTCAATGAAACCGGTGAACTCAGCACGTGGGTTTCGCAACGGTGCGAAATCTGCACGTGCGTCTCGAATGCTGTTCGTTTTTTGTTCTATCAAGGGTTTACAATGACTGTCATTCGTCACCACTCGCCCCTTTTCGTAACCTGCAAGAAGACTCGTCCCCCTATCGATGAATGTTATGTGCGAAAATACGACAAACCAATCAGAATGCGCGTATGATTAAGTTCTTCGTCAAAGAATCCCTCAGAAATAATTTTTGATTTTACATATGTCTTGCATCTTAAAATATACCCAAGACACAGTTAAATGTGTTCAATCATACTGTATAATTCCGCATGTCCCGATGTGCTTTAAATTGCATCTGAAATATATATAATATATGGTGAATATATACAACGAGTTGACAATTGTTTTAGGTATGCCTGTTTGCGCTAAGACGGAACCCGGTCACAAAAACGGCCACGAGAGGGGCACGAGTCGCTATTCGGCTTCTCCCGGAATAACACGAGTTGGTCACGAATGTGGCCTCATCAGTACAATTGATAATGATTGAGTGGTGGACTCCACTGTTCACATTTAAAGGCGGACAAGGCTCTGGCTAATAGGCAGTCCCTGCAAGTCCGACTCAAGTGACTCAGAACCCACAGTGTGCATCTGTGAAGTTAGGTTTTGATATGCAAGTCAATTCAGCGGTTAACGATTACACGTTTGATACAAGTGACCAACTAGACCTAGACTGTAAATAGATTTCAAACGGAAGAACCTTTTTATGGTTATCCAGAACAATCGTTTACTATTTATCAGTGGTGATTGACCAGAATATATCAAAACACACTGGTCGAAATAGGTGAAATGGGGTTTAACGACGCGTTCAAGATGCGTGCTAAGTCCACCGAGATACCATGCCGCAGTTTGACATAAATACTCCACTCAGCCTCCGAGCTGATCCGTCCGTTGTAGCCCCTTAATGCCGAGTGCAGGGTAACAACAAGTACCATCTTTTAACGTCAATTAGTATGACGCCATCGGGGATCGAACCACCGACCTTTCTTTCTCCGGGCAGACACTCTATCCACAAGACCACAGGGTATTTGGTCGTAATAGAAAACCCACGCAGGTTGTAGAAACCCACGAGCACAGGTATTGTACAGACAAACCAAAGATGCGGGCGAATCCGGGAGTCGAACCACGATAACTGAGCCCCGTGTCCCCTGTTTAGATGAACCAAGAATATTTCATGTTGGTATGTAACGTTCAAATGACTGATACTTAACACGATCTGTATTTCCAGGTATATGCCAAGATGGGAGTGAGGCAAGTCCCACGACAGCCGAAGATGCATTCCTCCCCGACACCCCTCCTCCCACCCCCATTTACAAACAACGGAGGGGGAACGCCAGTAGGTCGTCATATGACCATGTGATACAGGAACCTCTCATGTAAGTAGGAGACAATGACATTGCGTTTTATCTTAGGATTCAGCAGAAACCAGAATGCAACGTCAATTGTATATAAGTCTTTGATAGGCATTTAGAATATGTATTCATATTCGTATTCATCATGTTGTATTATGTAAATCGAGTTCGGGTTACGGAGGTTTTACGTAATGGGAAAGGGAATACTATTTGCATTTTGACAATACCGTTTTAGATTAAAGGGAATTGATTAGTAGAACAGAGAGTATGTACTAGAATCTTGTAATAAAATACCATTTTGTATTGTTCGTGTGTTTAGTAAATCGAATCAAAGGTTGTATACCATTTCAGTTTTAGAGTTCTTTTGAAAACATTGTCCGGCTCACAATGGAAGAGCTTTGTCTAAACTATATCGCGATTGTTTCTAACGCGTTTTCTGCCAAAAGAAAGTAACGTAGTCCAAGCCTGGGGATAAGCAATTTTGAAAATAGGTTTCTGATTGACATGTGTTCCCCATGGCCTAATTATTATAAATATACAATGTATCTGAACCACTACGGTTGAAATACATAGATATTCCTTTCAATGGATTAATGGTGCAGGTTTAAGGTGAACTCTCTTTGTGTTGCAGTGACAGCCTGTTCGTCAACCTCAGCGCCCTGTATGCCATGTTCGTGATTGTGCTTGGTTTTGTCATTCCGATCTCGGAGACTTTCACCACCGAACCTCGGGCCTATCTGTTTCAGGTAAAATCATGGTCACAGCACACACTAGGTGTTCGTGTATGTTCCTTGGTCTTTTAAGATGGTGTGAGATACGTGTTACCTTGCGGGTAATAGTATCTATTTCCAGACTATTCCGTTCAAATAGCACTTGAACAAGCGACTTAATGGAAAACACACATCACCTGTGACAAGGGACCGATTTCACAAAACGATCTGAGCGTTAAAGTGGGACTATGCTCTTCGGTCAAGATCGAGAGTGTGTCTCTAATTAAGGATAGTCACGATATGCTACAATGAAATATATCATAATGTTTGAATCACATTTGCTGGGCTTCCAATTGACCTGAGCGTTGTACCCATCATGACGGTTTGCAGACTCCCATACGTCCAGAGAAGACTTTCCTCCCGGTCGGATAGCCCAGAGGTTAAAGCGTTCGCTCGTCACGCCGAAGACCCGGTGTTCGATTCCCGACATGGGTATAATGTGTGAAGCCCATTTCTGGTGTCCCCCGCCGTGATATTGCTGGAATATTGCTAAAAGCGGCGTAAAACCATACTCACTCACTCTTCCACGAATGAAAGTCATGGTCAGCATTCTCTTCGTCAAGAACGAAGTAGAAATGAAAGAGAACAACTTTCAAGTCCATATATTTCCATATATTGTCATATCATTTTTTCATCGACCACCTCCGTGGTCTAGTGGGTAGAGCGGAAGGTCAGTGGTTCGATCCCCGGCCGCATTATACAAAAATACATTAAAACGTGGTATTTGTTGTTACCCTGCCTGGCTCTTGGCTTCAGGAGGATAATACAAGGACTGGTCTGGCCAAAGTAAGAATACTGTGTCTGAGTGGGATGTTCATGTCACACTTCGGCCTGGTATCTCAGTGGGCTAGCAAGATGCAGCCGCCACACACACATACACATAGCACGCAAAATAATTTCAATAATCTTGAATGCGACGTTAAATCCCATTTCATCTCACCTCACTTATTTTTGTCCAGATATGTATTCACACACGTTCACCCTCAAGTGTATTACATCTCCATTCTATTAATATTGGTGAACTCTACCCAGGCTACCTTGAATTGTGCGTCATCATCCTGTGCTCCTTCTCTTCAGGGCTTCTACATCTACCTGTACGCCGTCAGCGTCCTCTTCCTCTTCTTCATGTACATCTTCGTCCTGAGAACCCACAGATGCAGCTGCAGGTGCCCGTGTAAGAAGAGACGACGTCGGGATCCTCTCATAGCGGCACTGCAGGACAAGGACTTCAAGAACAGATTCACCTTCTCTGATGCAGCACACTCACACACTGGCAGCTTCTACCTCAGACTTGGTGCAGTCGGTATGTACGACTGAGTGGGCGAGTGAGTGAGAAGGCGAGTGAGTGAGTGGGCGAGTGAGTGAGTAGGCGAGTGAGTGGTGAGTGTGTGGGTGAGTGAGTGAGTGGGTGAGTGAGTAGGCGAGTGAGTGAGTGAGTAGGCGAGTGAGTTGGTGAGTGAGTGAGTAGGCGAGTGAGTAAGTGAATAGGCAGTGAGTGGGTGAGTGAGTAGACGAGTGAGTGGGTGAGTAGGCGAGTGAGTGGATGAGTGAGTGGGCGAGTGAGTGAGTAGGCGAGTGAGCTGGTGAGTGAGTGAGGAATCGAGTGAGTGGACGAGTGAGTGAGTAGGCGAGTGAGTCGGCGAGGGAGTGGGTGATTGGGTTTGTAGGTGAGTGACTGTATGGGTGTTTGAATATTTGAGTGAGGTTGTGGGAGGATGAGTGAGGGATTGAGTGAGCTAGGTTTAATGCCAGGCATCTCGCCAGTAATTCATCTGCGGACCAACCATGTCATAATCCTCTTAAAAGGGAGATTCACCCAGTGAATAAAATATTCAGTAAGCACACCTGGCCAAGTCAGCATTGTTGTTCAGAGTTGCGTCCCTTGCACATGCCAGAATCCTATGATCATGGATTTGAATCTCAGATTGTCTCTGATTATGATGCTTGATTCACTGAACCACACTGGCTTCATTAATTCTGCTTTACATCCCAAATTAAGCTGACTCTTCGTGATGTAATTGAAATACTGTTCAAAGTTGCGTTTAATACTGTTCTCGTATGCCCAACACTAATAAGACCCGCTCACTCACCGTACAACATATCTCAACGTTTGACTTCTACAAATGGATATAGGTTAATGGGCATATTCTATTCAGTTTACTGTTATTATTGGTATTGGATCAGTCACGTGATGATAATATGAGACCTACCAGGAGAAAAGGAACCGTATGGGTCCAAGGATACAATTGTGTGATGACGTCATAATGGCGTCAACTTACTTCAGTGGAGATCGGACTGTACAAAAATATCTTATTTTTCTTTCGTTAGTTAACGTAATAAAAACTAAAAACTGAAATTATTACGTAAACAGTTATAAGTCGGAAAATGAGTCCAAATGTTTGATGTCATGTATATCCGTAATAAATATGAATTGGAGCATGTGAATTGTATTTTTGTGTTTTGAAGATACTGTAGTTTTGAAATATGATGAAAAGTGAAAATATGATCTTTCACCTATAAGGTCCTTTACCCCATGGTTGGTCACATATATTAAATACTTCCTTCAGGGTTCGGCATCGGCAGTATGATAAAGAGTGGTCTACAGTTCGGCGATTTCTTCGAGAGTGACGTCATGTCCAGCTGTCGGGATATCGTGCACGGCATCTGTCCCATCATCCACCTCGTCTTCACCTTCTCACAGCTGTACTTCGTCTTCCTCAACTCCAAGGTAGGGCCACACCCCTGTTGTGAGCGCGACATGACGTATACCGCATGTCCATTGTGACTTACAGGTATCGTAAAAGGCGACTATGCTTGTCATAAGAGGCGACTAACGGGATCGGGTGGCCAGGCTCGCTGACTTGGTTGAAGCATGTCATCGTATCCCAATTGCGTGGATCGATGCTCATGATGTCCATCACTGGATTGTCTGGTCCAGACTCGATTATTTACAGACCGCCGTCATTAAGCTGGAATATTGCCGAGTGCGGCGTTAAACAACAAACAAACAAACAAACAGACTTACAGGTAAATGGAAGACGCCAACACCATAGAATATCCAGTCTCGAATAGTTAACAGATTTCAATGGGCGTTAAAGGCAAATAGCAGTGAAGATTATATGAATGGATAACTGTGAATCAGTGGTGACAGCAGCTGTTCGAAAAGGGGTACGCATTGCCTGCCCTCTCGTAGCACGTACCACTGCATAAAAAAAGTTTGTTGTCTGACACCGCACAGCAGCAGTGTCATGTGACAGGCGTGTAAACAGACCAGGCAATCAAGTGATGCTGGCCTTAACACTCGACGACTGAGGATCGGGTGGTTACAACGACTGTGACGACTGTGACGAACTGCAACTGAATTGTTAATTGGTGTAGTGATGCAAAATCTTAGGTGAATCATATAATTCCATATATAATGCTCTAATTTGTCCTCATATGCCGGACCCGTGAAGGTCCGGGGACGATTAGGTTTTCATGCATATCATCGGATCCCAATTGCATGGGACGATGCGCACGATATTAATTACTGGATTTTGTGTCCAGATTCGATTATTTACAGACCGCCGTCGAATAGCTTGACTATTGCTGAGTGCGGCGTTAAAAACAAACAAAGAAAGTCATATACCGTGGCGGTGGGGTTACCTTGTGGTTTAACCTTTGACTCCTCACGTCGAAGACACGGCATCGATGTTCACCCCACGTCAAGTGACCCCTCCCGTTTTCTCCTGGAGTGTTGCGAAAAGCGGCGTAAAATGCTACTCACTCCCACACTTGACTAATGCTAGTAGTCAGGCTACAAGGTGGTATTGTGTTTATTAGAAACCATGCTGGAGTATTACAGACATCGGCGCTAAACACCATTCACTCACTCACTTCCTGGAGAAGGTGTGGCCCAGTGCGAAGAAGGCGGAATTCGCTGTGCAGACTTTCATTCCTTGGGCACGCCAGAAATCTATCATTGTGGATTGAATCCCGGCAGTCAGGATGCTGGAGATATTTCATTTTTTCTGTCGATGTTTAGACAGAGATTAGAAGACTTATTTAAAGAATTACTTTTGTCTTATAATGGCCAAACCATCCTTTTCGGAAAAGCAAAGAAAACCTAATTCTACGAACTAAACGTCTGAATAATATCTATACTTCAGTAAAACAGTGATAAATATTTGTTTTTGATACCATCCTGTCTGTGTAACATTAGGCTTATATATTATGTGTAAGGAGGTTCATAAATTATGCAAATATACTGAGGGAAACAAATAAGGGAACACTACTTTATCACACTATTCCTTTATTTATTTCCAGATTTTTACCCACAGAGCAATTCATAGCATGCGAAGAAACCTGGAAAAGAATAAAGGAACATGTACTTTCATGTGTTCCCTTATTTGTTTCCCTCAGTATATGATCATCCTCACCAATGCTACAACGTAGTTGTAAGGAAATTCGTCATTTCTGATTTACCCGCCCCCTAACTATTCCAGGCATCCGTGTGAACGTCAAGATACCCACAAACTTTGGTTCAAAATATAACAACATTAAATACTACTGTCGCGTTTCAGATATGCATCCAGCGTTTCAAGATTCTGTCGCGTTTTGGCGTGATGCACCTGGTTGCCACGAACATATGTGTTTGGGTGGAGAACATAGTGGAGGAGACGTTGGTGGAGCTGCAGCAGCATGTCAGCGAGATGAGGCTGGGACAGGGGCCTCTCATCATCAGGAACATCTCCGTCAGGGTCCACTCGGCGAACAGGTCCAGCACAATAGCAACTCCTCAACCAGGTACGTAACCTTTATTTGCCACTATTTTACCAGGTACTTGGCTCAAGGGGCCTTCATTAGCAACTCCGTAACAATATCAGTGGTTTGAGGAACCTTCATGAACAACTCCACAACAAGATCAGTAGTTAAGGGAACCTTCATGAACAACTCCACAACATATCAGTGGTTTGAGGAACCTTCATGAACAACTCCACAACATATCAGTAGTTAGGAGAACCTTCATGAACAACTCAACAACATATCAGTGATTTGAGGAACCTTCATGAACAACTCCACAACATATCAGTGGTTTGAGAAACCTTCATGAACAACTCCACAACAAGATCAGTAGTTAGGGGAACCTTCATGAACAACTCCACAACATATCAGTGATTTGAGGAACCTTCATGAACAACTCCACAACATATCAGTGGTTTGAGGAACCTTCATGAACAACTCCACAACAAGATCAGTAGTTATGGAACCTTCATGAACAACTCCACAACAGGACCAGTAGTTAGGGGAACCTTCATAAACAACTCAACAACATATCAGTGATTTGAGGAACCTTCATGAACAACTCCACAAGATCGGTAGTTAGGGAACCTTCATGAACTCCACAACATATCAGTGGTTCGAGCAAACTTCATTAGCAAGATATTTATGTTTCCATCACCTTATGAGTAATATCAACTATTTGGTGATGTCTTGAACCTTTAACTATTTCTTTTACGAAATTAAAGTCCATTCAAGATATGAAGAAAATAATTTCTTCTTACGTCTTCCTTTCTTGGTTGTTCACAGCATTTACGACGACAACTACGCCGTCGCCGGGACGACAGTGCCATCAGGAGAGTCTGATGAAGAATGTAGTGGAGAGGTCGGGACCTTATCTCTACCCATGCAGTATTGAATACAGTCTCATCTGCGCAGGTACAGTCGATGTAGTGCATGGGGTATTCTATATTTGAAAATAAGGTTGCATTTGCCTTCTCATTGGTTGTTTCTGTAACGAAGGGATTACTAAGCGATTTCTTGCCCAACCCGAATGTGAAGTGTTTTCATTTTACCATTGGTGTCATGAAGGCGAGTAATACACAGCTATCCCTCATTTGGTTCAATAATACAGAAAAAATACTGATGTTTGTCAGTGGTGTTATATAGAATTCCTCGTATGTAGGACTGATTTTGTATCGAGAAAAGATATTGTTTTCAGCTCCACCCACAAAACCAGATATATCTGGATTTAAAACTGTGAGCCTGATTTTTTAAAAAGAAAAACACCTTTCAAAAATTGTAATTCTTGTGGCATCCAATTTCTGTTCAACAGTCTGAAGCATAATTATTTTTAAAAAGAATTTTGGGGACAATTTAATTTTTTCGATAAAATCCCCCATCCCTCCAAATCAAGTGGTCTGTCCCTAACTTACCTATGACGGCGGCTTGTCATTTTACTATGGGAGGACATTAGAAAGTGAATCAGGTCGTAGACATTTACCACATTATTGTAATCAACGGGTATGATTCTGATAGACCAATGTTCATTTTGAATGTCGGATCTTGGATTCGAACACGAGACAAGCGGATCCGTGCATTGCTAAGAGACGTTAGTGTGTAAAAGCAGCGTGTACCACAAACCATGGACATTCAACATTTGAATCTATTTAATCAAATTTAAACGACCCGTGTTCAATCAGAAAAGAATGAAAACGATGATTTAGATTGTCAAGTGTTAAGTTCGGTTATATTCCGTGAATTGAATTTTGGATTTATTTTCAGGTATTCTGTTCGTCATGTGGCGAAACATCGGCAAACGGGGGATCAATCGAGAACAGGAAGAACAGAGGGAGGCTAAGGCCAAGGCTCAACGCCTTAGCCTCGACTGTACAGGCTCAAGTCGAGGCTTATTCCTTGGCATCCTCGTATTGGTAGCTGTCGTCATTTCCGTCATAACGTTCTTCGTTCTGATTGGCTCCCACGAGCGAAACGAAGCAGCTATTATGGTTGAGCATCTCTCAGAAATCGTCATCTACATACTCACCTCGTTGGCTGTAATTTTAGCATTCTACAAGATGCAGGGTCTCCGATTCCGACTCGAGAAATCTCTGGATTTGGAAGAATCTCTTATTCTCATATCTCTGCTTGGAATCTACACGTTTTCTCTATTCAGCATAATCTCAGCAGCCTTCATTTCCGCGCAAGCGCAGAGCCTCCTTATCATTATTTCCAGCGTTCTGCGCATGTTTCAAGCTACCGTACAGACTGTGTTTATCATGAATGCTCTAAGGAGGTATGCATATGTCAAAGACCACGAGAGACGGAAACCAGGGAGGGAATTTGTTACGTTTTTGCTGGTCTCAAATATTGCCCTGTGGGGCATAAACACATTTGAAGTCCAGCAATCAGAAGCTAACCCTATTCAAATTGACTTTTTTGGAGTGTTGCCATGGAATATCTTCACACATATATCCAGCCCGTTAGCTATCTTTTATCGTTTTCATTCGACCGTGTGTTTATCAAACATATGGAAACATGCTTGGAAGCGGAAACGTGCTTGAACAAAGGGAGATAAATCTGATCTTCATGACACTTGGGTAATTTATAAAACTGGATCATAAGGCAAGCTTATCACAGTGTTACCTCATGAAATACCTTACCTCAATTAATCGAAATGTGCTTACAATGAAATGATCATTTTTATTAGTCACTGTAATGGCGTATAGCAGTGTCGGGCAGATCTGGTTTCTTACCCACTTCAAGCATGTGTCATACCCTGTTACTGGCAAAAACAAACTTGTTTAGCCAATCAAATGCCATGTTTCATATGTCCAAAACCCCGTTCATCCGGACAACTATTAAGAGAACAATCGGATTAAAGAGGTCAACCTTACAACCTGCTGCAATGGTGGATAACTAACAAGAACAGTGGTGATGCGGCCTTAATCCAATTGTGGGTTCTGGTAAAGAGTATAGTATCCTTACCTGTTTTCATCCACATTAGCATTACTTATTTACAATCTATGGATACATGTGATGGCAGTATACTATAGACAGGCTCCATGTACAAGATGAATCGAATGGTTTTTCATTGGAGATCCGTAATCAGAGCTATACTGATATAAATTAAATGCAAAGAGAAATGTAGAGAACTGGTGGCATGAAAGGCAGGCATTACAAAAAAGTCGTGTGAAGCAGCGGAAAAGAAGAAACGGTTCAAGGGAAGCAACTCTTGCTAGTATGCGACATCCGAGGAGGAAGTTATATTGTGGAACTCTTTGTGAACAGGATTTACAATGAACTGATCTAACAACCTTCTACCACATCACTTAAGATTGACAGATGGCTTTGAATTCAAAACTCAACATTCGGTGTTCCATCCTCGCTTATCTAGTGCAAATAATAAAATGGACACATAATACACTGAATAATCGAGGATGGTGAGGCTAACATGACAAGCAAAGTGACTTTTGATTGGTTTACGAAACCGTCGACTAAATGTTTTAATAATATGCTTTCTTAAAACTAATTTTAGGAAATTTGAAAGTAGGGGAAGGTAAATAAGCATTTGACTTGATATATGTTATGTCACCAATCAAAAATACTTATACAAGATCCCTTTAGGTGTTTCGACACCCGGTCATATGGTATTGGAAAATCCGTGAACCAGTTGAATGTAAAAAAGAAAACCTCCTCAGGTCCTGCAATGAGCATGAAAATGAACATAACAATGAACATAACAATGAACATAACAATGGACATGACAATGGACATGACAATGAAAACCACAGATACATTTGACTGAAGATTGACAAAGGAGTTTTTTCTACCTCCTGAAATTGTTGAACTGTCGAACTTGATACAGCTTTTAAGATTCGAATGGAATTTACAGGGATTGAATCAGCGTTCGAAACCGAAACCGTGAATCACTAAAGACAAATATGTGTTGCTCAATGTGTTTTTAAGTTTATTTGGCATTCAGCTATTATGATCAGTCGATCTGGTTGGAAAAATGCAAATTCTTAAATTTTAAGCGCTCAATGTCTGTGCTTGTCGTAAGAGGCGACTAACGGGATCGGGTGGTCAGGCTCACTGACTTGGTTGGAGCATGTCATCGTATCCCAATTGCGTGGATCGATGCTCATGATGACAATCACTGGATTGTCTGGTCCAGGCTCGATCATTTACAGACCGCCGTCATATAGCTGCAATATTGCTGAGTGCGCGTTAAACATGTTAAACAACAAACAATATAATACAGTAATAGCATGCATATGTGTCTGCCATCTTGGATGGTTATTATATTTTATCTACTGGTCATCTTCTGAAGATTAATATTAATAATTTCGAAAGGCGAGTATTCACATAATTGAAGACATATCGAAGCTTCATGTGAATCATTTTCAAAATATATGGACTAGCTTCGTAGTTAGCGTGATCTTATGATCTTGTATATGGGCCGAATGTACATTGATATATCCAACAAATCTAGGGCAAGTGTTCCTTCCCCCTGTCCCAGAAAGATTGCCACCAGGAGACTCCCCACCTCTCTCACACACAATGTAGGCAAGTATCTGAGCGAACCAATGTAACAGTTAAAATGTAAGAACCTAACGTACAGGCATAAGCTTATTATAACATTGGGTCTTCATGTTGGTTCCGAAGTTACAGGAACAGTTCCTTGTTGGTTCCGAAGTTACAGGAACAGTTCCTTGTTCTGTAACTGTTCAGTCATTAGAAGTATCCAAACACTCAAGCATTGTTTGAGGGGTGTGGTGGTGGGGTTGGGGTGTGGTGGGTGGGGGCAGTTCTCCGGGGTCAGTATTGCTGGGAGTACCTTCTCCAACATGTCTACTTTGTATCATAATATAAGTTGTTCATTAAAATTATGTTCGATATGTTTGTGTTTATGGTTGTCTTTACTATTTTCCATTGTCTTTACTTGTTTCCCCAAGATTTAAAATAAGCAGATTCGAATGATAAATAATGATAATTTGATGTGTGTGTGTGAATGTATGTGTGTGTGTGAATGTGTGTGTGTGTGTGTGTGTGTGTGTGTGTGTGTGTGTGTGTGTGTGTGTGTGTGTGTTTCATCTCAATTTTGTAGAAGTCCTTCTCTTGGCAGTCAAAACGTCTCTATAGATGCTATGGCATCATCGTTCTAGTCGAAAACGACGCTCCTAATTGGAATAAAGAAGTTGTTTATCCCTATATCTCATCCTTACTTAGTACTCCATATTCTAAATGCAGCTCAAGGAAGTACCTGCACGTTACTCAAGTTTGTCCATTATCCAAAGGCCACAGCCCCGTGCTCAGTGGAATCAAAACTTTGTAGATATACATCTATGACATCATGTAATGTCCACAGCAAAAGATTTCACTATTACGCAATTCCTTCTCTGGTTGGCTCAGATGTAAAAAGGTATTTCATTTTTTCAACATCGATAACAATGGTCAATATTGAGTGCAAATTATTGAGTCAAAGAGAAACTTTCAATTATTACAAATCTAAACAAATCACTGGTCGATGAAATATGTGATTTTCTTTAAAATTTCTAAAAGCCACGATTGGATTGGATCTGATTGGATTTTTATTTTAACGCCATAAACTAGTGGTTGGTAGGGTGAGTGAGTGAGTATGGTTTTACGCCGCCTTGAGCTATATTCCAGCAATATCACCGCGGGGGACACAACAAATGGGCTTCACACATTGTACCCATGTCGGGAATCGAACCCCGGTCTTCGGCATGACGAGCGAACGCTTTAACCACAAGGCTACCCGATCGCCCGACAGTTTAAGAAATAAAACACAACGGAGAGTATAAAATATAAGCATTATATCTATATATCCCGGGAGACCTTCCAATGTTCTTCTGGAGACCGGGGGCACGGGGGGCCCAGTCGTCTAAGGCGCCGCGATTCGCTGTGCAGAGTTGCGTCCCTTGGGCACGCCAGAAACCTATGATTGTGGGTTCGAATCCCGGTTCGCCCCGATTATGTTTCTAGGTTTGGCAGCACCATACCCGTGCTCGTGGGTTTCACCGAAGTGGTAAACGTCTGAGACCTGCATCGCTTCGGGCTTTCCTCCCACATTAAGCTCACACGCCGTGATATAACTGGAATACTGTTAAAAGCGGCGTCAAACCCAACTCACTCACTCACTCATTCTGGAGACCAGTGTTGCTGAAGGTTTGCCACGAAGTGTTTTTGTCCCACGAGTGTAAGGCATACGAACTGATGGGTATATGAGTGAGTTGGCTTTAACGCCCATTTAAACAGTATGTAAGGTAAATCGTCGAAGGACGACATATTACCAAGTCGGAAGTTGTTGTAATGGGCACACACAGTCTCCCCGTCTGTAAACGTGAGGTCAACTCAGAGTTCGGATGTTTTCTGGCTGGTTAGACGGTGTATCTTCTCGTTACCTGAAATCAAACAAAATACTTTCCCCAGTACATGTACAAACAAAAAAGATACTATCAATATGTACTGTATATGTGTGATAAAACAAAATCAGTACCATGTTTATCTGTTAAAGAAGTAGTATTGCGATTTGAGTGAGTTAGTTGGAATTAACGCCGCCTTTAACAGTATTCCAGTTATATCACAGCGTGTCAGCTTAGGGAGGAAAACCCGAAGTTATGCAGGTCTCAGACTTTTACCACTTCGGTGAGACCCACGAGCACGGGTATGGTGCTGACAAACATAATCGGGGCGAACTGGGAATCGAACCCAAAATCATAGGTTTCTGGCGTTCCCAAGGGAATCGCGAGGCCTAAGATGATTGTAACACCCGTGCCCCCCATTGCGATTTGAATTCTCAGGCGTATCAATATGAAACAAATATATCCAATAACGTCCAGGTCTATAATAGTTGACGAGTGTAGATTAGTCCAGTTTCTGAAACTGAAGAGAGATAGCTGTTTTTTCTGTTAGGAATTTCATTTCAGAGAGTGAATGTGAGTCTAGTTTATCATTCAGAATCAAGTTTTCATATTCCAGCTATATGACGGCGGTCTGTAAATAATCGAGTCTGGACCAGGCAATCCAGTGATTGACATGAGCATAGATCCACGCAATTGGAATCGATGACATGCTTCAACCAAGTCAACGAGCCTGACCTCAGAATCAAGTAATGTTCACAGTCTTCGTATGACTGTCAAATATGTACGCCTTACACTCCCCAAAATACTGTCACAATCAGATTTTGTTTTCCCCCAGGTATCAACAAAATCCTTATCTTCTTGTATCAACAAGAACATTTATCGTCGTCCATGAATTATCCGCTCCTTGAATATATCCGTCTGAACTTCTTCAAATGCACCAACCAGACAATGGGCTGTTTGTTACATTTCAGTTAAGCCTGTATTTGCTTTGAACTAATCAGTATGACTGTGTGTTCAATCAACAATAAAGTAATTGTAAGTTTTAAACGAAAATGACACATATAATGACGCACAGGTCTCGATCAGCACATATTAGAAGCCGTCATATGGGCCTCAGCAACATTAATTTTCGAAGTAGATGCAATTATAGAATATTAATACGGTTTTGTTTCTATCTACATAGTACACAAATTTCAGTTGTTTAATCATAAAGTTTTCGATCATTAGTGGTGATCTTTCTTTTTCAATGCATGTGGTGTGGATAGTTTAAAAGTACTCCTACACATGATATAGGCCAATGAAGAATATTTGACTGATACTCGTATATCTACATTGTGAATGCCTGTATAATTCTGTGTGACAAATACTAGTAATTATACCTGGTACAAAGCATTGAGAAAGTCCTTTCTTAATAAGTAACTTGTTTCATATTGCCAGAGTTCACTCCCTTAGTCAGAGTAAGATGGAGTGAGTGAGTGAGTTTGGTTTAACGCCGCTTTGAACAGTATTCCAGTTATATCACGGCGTGTCAGCTTCATGTGGGAGGAAAGCCCGAAGTGATGCAGGTCTCAAGACGTTAATCACTTCGGTGAAACCAACGAGCACGGGTATGGTGCCGCCAAACCTAGAAACATAATTGGGGCGAACCGGGATTCGAACCTACAATCATAGGTTTCTGGCGTGCCCAAGGGACGCAACTCTGCGCAGCGAATAGCGGCGCCTTAGACGACTGGGCCACCCGTGCCACCCAATGTAAATGATGATAATGATATTATTATATAATACTCTAGTCATAATGTAGGTGTGAAGTGATAAGATTTCAAAGATTTATATTGAAATATAATATTCAATTGTTTATGAGAAACATTGTAGATTTTGTTTTATCTAAAAGATTTGAATTTCAAAAACAATTAACGTCTAACCTAAGCAGTGGTGCTACAGAGTATCTAAAGTAGTGTTAATGAATATACACTTGAGGTAAAAGCCATGCACATATTCACACTACAGAAGCAGTCATCGTGACATTGTACCCATCACATCCAGCCAGGACTTCCCGGTCAGATTGCCAAAGCCGTCCACCAACCCATCACCTGTAACACAAAATGATTCATCGAATCAAAACATAAACAAAATTATATTTTTTGCAGTACATGCGCAATCAATCTAGCACAAACGAAACTTCATGGTCTTCATCATCCATAGATATAGTCTGGAAGGTAATTTAAGGTACCGACGTTTACTACAATATCTGAAAAACTATTGCACCTACTCCAGTCAAAGTTTGTATGAGATTATTAAACAGTCACACATAACTGGATATCATATTTAAAGACAATCGGTGCATGAATAAAAAATCTGTCTATTTATAGACTATTTATAGACAGATTTTTTTATTCATGCACTGATTGTCTTGACATATTTGACAGATTTGTACTATTGGTATATTTCTGTATATTCAAAGTAATAAACATCCATTTCGAAAATTGTTTGTTTAACCTTGTACCCAGCACTATGACGGCGGTCTGTAAATAATCGAGTCAATGAGAAAGTCTGACAAATCCATTGATTTACATCATGAGCATTGACATACGCAGTTTGGATACGATGACTTGC